TATTCTCATTTAATTTTTTTTTTATAACATTTTGTTCAGTTGTTATGTTTAATATAAATTCTTATCAAACCTAAGCTATCAAATTTGACTACAAGGTCTTCTTGTCAAAAATTTGTTTACTTTTTTTCAGTGATAATAAATAAGCTATCATTTGAAAAATGAGACTTTTATTTTATTTCATTTTAGCCCAAATTAGGGTCGGCGCTCCCGTAACACAGTAAATAAAAAAATGTTGGCTTAATTTACCGTTTATGCTGAAACAAAATTTGGGATAAAATGAAATATTTTGCAATATCGTCATGGTTTCCTGGGGATGGGATGCAAAACTGGTTATATAGTGGAAGTGCATTTTCTGTTTGTTATTCTGAACTACCTCTGTGTATTAAGTAAATTGAGTAAGCATGCTTAGTTTATAATTATGATGAGTAATGATGGCTCCTTTAAAAATTGTGAATTCGATTACCTCTGGTTTTAAACGCACAAAATTCAATTGTTGGAAAGCTGTTACATGATACCCAGGTGACCTATAAGGCATTGGGCCCCTTATTTGTATACTGTGCTATTTATAGTAAGACGAAAACATCAAGATAACTTGTTTCCTGGACCATTCTATAAAGTTTTATCACAGCAAAAGACTCCAAAATAGACTTACGTTTTCATCCTTAATAATTGACCCCTTTCAAGTTGACTAGTCTGCCAGTCATCTGCCGCTTCTTGCAGAATTACACATCCGACTAAAAGATGCTGAATACGAACCTAATTGTGAAAGAAACATTGCTTTCTACTGTGTCATAAAAAATTGTATGAACATGTAGGATGAAAGACAAAAAAATATTTTTTTTCGGCGAAGATGTTCCAAAGCACAAAAACAAAATATTTCAAAATTCAATATTCAGGTGCAGTATTGTGGAATAATTTACCTTTAAATATAAGAATGTCTCCATCACTTCAAAATTTTAAAATCGAGTCAAGAAAATACATAATAGACCAACAATCAACATAAATTATTACAAAATTGTATATACATGTGGACTGTATTATTACAAATGTAATGAAATGATGCATGTTTTATTATTGTATATCGAGTCATACTGTTGAACATTGTTGAATGTATAACATTGTTGAATGTACTATTTATCCTTGTGTTTTATATATGTATTTTTATAGAGGGCTTCAAGGAAGAATAGTGCTCGCATTTATTGAGTCACCCTTTTTAAATAAAGTTTTATTATTATTATCAATGTTTTTTTATTCATAAGTATCAAAGCCTACAAGGGTCAATTGGAAAATGAAGAAAAAAAAATTAAGTCGTAATAACGACTTTTTATCTCGTAATAACGACTTTTTATCTCGTTATTACGACTTTTTTAAGTCGTAATAACGATTTTTATCTCGTTATTACGACTTTCTTAAGTCGTAATAACGATTTTTTATCTCGTTATTACGAATTTTTATCTCGTTATTACGACTTTCTTAAGTCGTTATAACGACTTTTTTTAATTTATTTTTTTTTTCATTCGGAACATTTTTTTAACTTGATCCTTCCAGGAGAAGAACGGAAACGTAGCTGGTATTACGTTGTCGTGTATCTGAAATCGCGATAGTTTAATTAGTTATAAAATTGTCAAACACATTTACACCAGACAATTTATTTATGATCATAATCTGTAATTTTTGACAATATTTGGACTTGTTTTATTTACACACGTATTATCAGTCTCAGACGGAATGCACTGACAAAATATAAATACCTATGTCTTCTAAGAATAAATACAATCTTACATGGTATGCTTGTCTATATTTTCTTTAGTCTCCGTTATCGTGTTTACAAACAGCGTCAAAACTCTGCTGGCTGAGTGGAAAGGTCGAATTCAACCATGAAATGGTATATGCTAATTATTCCCGAAAAATATTCACGAATATCCTAGTAATTGTTTTGTATTATCAGTCTCAGAGTTCTTCACTATATGTTTTAAATTTTCCTCACCTACAACTTGCGAACTTCCATGTTTGTCTAAAGCGAAAGTGAAAACGAGGCAGCTCGTGCAAGTCATTATTCGCTTTCAGCGGTCGTTATTAAAAAATAAGTACTTCGTATTGACCAATCAGATTACCGGATTTCACAAAGTTATATAATATTACGACTTAAGAAAGTCGTAATAACGAGATAAAAAGTCGTTATTACGAGATAAAAAGTCGTTATTACGACTTAAGAAAGTCGTAATAACGAGATAAAAAGTCGTTATTACGACTTAAGGAAGTCGTAATAACGAGATAAAAAGTCGTTATTACGACTTAAGGAAGTCGTAATAACGAGATAAAAAGTCGTTATTACGAGATAAAAAGTCGTTATTACGAGATAAAAAGTCGTTATTACGACTTAATTAATTTTTTTTTTTCATTTTCTGATTTGACCCTTGTAGGCTTTCGTACATAAGCTTTTTTATTGTCATACAAATTTTGAAAGAAGCTCATGCCAACAAAAAACTTATAAAATGTAATAATAAAAAAAGAAATCTTACACATCCTGTCTCTATAAGCTGCTTGGCACCTTCGTAGCATCTTCTTTTCAAGAGAGCAAAGAAGATCAATCCAAATAGACCAGAAGTATTAACGTTCAATTTTCCATCTGCAACTCAGTATAAAATTACTTATATTCCGTTCAACGATTTATTTTTCAACTCATTAAATTGCTATATTATGAAAATCTTGTATTGCATAAGCTGCTAAATGTTTAATGAAAAAAAAATCATTCACTTGATTTGTGTTTTAGTGTTTGGATTCGAGCTAAAGATTTAGACTTAGTGTTAGAGAAGGATATGGAAATAACGAACAGTATTCAATCTCAATGTCCATTAAACAAATATACAAAATAAGAGCAGAGCAAACACGGACCTCCGAAACATCAGAGGTGGGATCAGGTGCCATGGAGGAGTGAGCATCCCCTGCCGACCGCACCCGCCGTGTGCTCGTTGTCATAATCAGGATACAACGGAAAAAATCCGTGGTCAATTCAGTGTATAAATAATGGACTAACAATTGGTATGAAAAAATGTCAGTTAGCATTTCATTCAATGATAAATTGTATTTGCTGACAAGGTCATTGTATCGACCATATAATTTACAAAATGATGATTTTTAACGAGAGTGTTGATATTCTTGTTTCATCAACTTGCTTGTCAATAAATTACCTTGTTTAAGAAATTGTTCATACGTAGAGCATGCTCTTGCATATCGAATCAACTGAGATATAAATACTACGTATGCAGGTGATGAAGGTATATTGCTGCATAAGTAAGGGAAGTTGACGATAGAAAGTTAAAGTCATCACGTTTATCATATAGCTTGGTTGTTAGATTACCATTAGTGTCTTTTTCAAGTAAAATATCCACGTAAGATGCAGAAGTGTCGGACTCTGTGGTATCTTTTATCTCAAGCTCACCAGGATATATCGTGTCGACGTAGGAATGGAAATTATCATTATTAATTGACAATACGTCGTCGATATATCTAAATGTCGAGTTGAAGGCCACAGCAAGTGTTTTCTTCTTTAGAGCTAAGGTTAGGGTTAAGCAACAAGGGTTAAGGTAAGCATTTGGATTCTAGCATACATAGTTACCGAAAAAAAAATTAAAATAAAATATGGCGGAATCAAAAATATTTGGCAGAAAAGGCAGAGATGTAAGAAGTAGGTCTTATAAAGATTAACAAATGATGTTTGAAAAAATTTAACACCACCTCCGGTAAATAAATGAAATTTTCCAAATAAAACGAGACAAAACCCTGTCAAACATGTATCGGTTTTATCCAGAAAAAAACTTTACCAAGATATTCATTATGGTTAATGTCTATACCCAATTTCATTTCGATACGTGGTTTTGATTGATACCAGAGACACAACAATATTCATGATAAAATAGGATTTTTTTAAGCTCGGTTATATTGAATTCTCGAAACATCTTTTTCATGTATGATCTATGGAATCTTTTTCGGTACCTCCTTTGTCTTTTGAATATCCTTTCCATTTTGGCGCCGTATATGCATATCTTGTCTTCAATTCCAAATCCTTCCAAAGGCCCTCTTGGAAATCACTTGACATTTCCTACATGTGTATAGAAAGTTTTATTGGAGAGAAATTAATATGTCGGCCTTGTAAGAAACAAATTGACAAAAATCACTAGAAACTCAAATGAAAAAAATGTGAAAAAAGATGATTGTTACATAGAACAGTTACTTAAGACATACACACCTTTTCAAAAATGTATTCGATTGACTTCTGGTTAAATGATGTTTTTATAATGTTCTTAGGTATTTTCCATTTTCCTTTTTTCATCAAATACATCGACAGTGCATTTGGGTATAAATCCGTTTTGCAACCCTAGTGAATATAACACCATATACTTGTAATAACTTTGCAAATAGCTTGTCTGACTGAACAATTTATATAAAGAACGTAAAAATATGATCCCTTCATTTCTTGTTGAAGTGGGGCTTACTATTTCATCACTTATCATTACGAAGATAGGCAGCAGTGGTTATTTAAAGGTTATATATAAGTTAATATTAAAGGCATTTGAAATTATAACCCAGAGACCAAGCCGCAGAATAATAAAACAGACTTAGATTTAAGTCAAATTTTCATCAACTGTACGTAAAATTTTAATTTATCATTAAATTGATCTAAAAATTTGCAAAAAAACACCATTTTCATGAATCAAAATTGAAACACATTTCAATTTGATTTGTTTGCACTGCAAAAATTTTGTAAACATAACATGTTAATTTTGACTTATGCTTAAGATGTTTCATGATCCCGCATCTTCCCAAGTCAAGAGTTTCTGATCCGCTCCGCTCCACATAAACCCTTGACCGAATAGGCTAAGTTTGACGGGGTTAGAAATGCATTCTCTGAATGACCTCATGCAGGTTTGCATGAACCAATCAAAACCATTGTTTTATTCAAACTGAAACTACATCGTAAACAGAATAACACGTCAGTTTTAGTCCCAAGAATAACGTATTCTTCATTAGATAGCCATTTTAAAGGTTTGCCTCAGTTTTTTTAGTTGAGTTATATTGAATTTATTATCGACTAACAATATTAACTCGAATTCACTTTTGAATTCGTTTACTCTGATTAGCTAATAGCAGAGGTCAGGAGAGTTCAAAATATGTAACCTCACTAGATGACGAGACAGTAAACCCCGTCAAACTTAGTCTATTCGGTCAAGGGTTTATGTGCAGCGGAGTACAGGCGCGTAGCATCGTTTTTGGAAGTGGGGGGTCAACCTGAGAATTTTTTTTTACTTACCTGAAAAAGTTGACAAGCAAAAAAAGGAAACTTTAAAGTTGCCCGAAGTCGAAAATCCTATTTCGGTGGGGGGGGGGGGGGGGGGGGGGGGGGGGGGGGGGGGAAGTGGCTAACTTTTTTCAAAACCAACTACCTTTCAATTAAAACTTTTTGGGGTAAATGTTCTTTATAACACTACCCTTTGCTGAAATGTGGGGGGCCAACCTTCCTTCAGTAAACATTTTCCATAGTAAAGGTTATGTCGGGAGAAACAGTGGGGGGCATGGCTTCCCTGATACTACGCCCCTGGAGTAGATCGGAAACTTGTCTTGACTTCAATCTCTGTTTTCCCATATAAGAGGGTTGAATAAATATTATTTTCATTTCTAGAACTATTGGAAGAATGCTTAGATCGTTGACCGGGTAGATACAGGTTTTATTACATTATGACTCCCGGGGTTAGGGTGTGGTCATAGTGAGGAATCAAATTTTTCATGAGAATATAAAGTAAAAAATTCCAGAGCAGATAAGTTTTGTTTGGTCAAATAAACAGTCATGTAAGCATCTGAAAGTAGTGAAGATGGTGACCTATTGCTACATGTATCTGTCTTTGTCTGTCGCGTTTCATGGTCCCTGGGGAAAAACACTAAAAGTAATGCAATCTTTAAAAATCTTCTCCTGGACATCATGCAGTCAAAGTATTGGAAGAAGGATATGGAAATAACGAACAGTATTCAATCTCAACGTTCATTAAACAAATATACAAAATAAGAGCAGAGCAAACACGGACCTTCGAAACATCAGAGGTGGGATCAGGTGCCATGGAGGAGTGAGCATCACCTGCCGACCGGTCACACCCGCCGTGTGCTCGTTGTCATAATCAGGAAATAACGGAAAAAATCTGTGGTCAATTCAGTGTATAAATAATGGACTAACAATTGGTATGAAAACGTCAGTCAGCATTTCATTCATTGATAAATTGTATTTGCTGACAAGGTCATTGTATCGACCATAGAATTTACGAAATGATGACTTTAAACGAGAGTGTTGATATTCTTGTTTCATCAACTTGCTTGTCAATAATTTACCACGTTTAAGAAATTGTTCATACGTAGAGCATGCTCTTGCGTATCGAATCAACTGAGATATAAATACTCCGTAGGCAGGTGATGAAGGTATATTGCTGCATAAGTAAGGATAGTTGACGATAGAAAAGTTAAAGTTATCATGTTTATCATATAGCTTGGTTGTTAGATTACCATTAGTGTCTTTTTCAAGTAAAATATAGAAGTATGAAGCAGAAGTGTAGGACTCTTTTATCTCAAGCTCACCAGGATATATCGTGTCGACGTAGGAATGGAAATTATCATTATTAATTGACAATACGTCGTCGATATATCTAAATGTCGAGTTGAAGGCCACAGCAAGTGTTTTCTTCTTTTCACGTAAAAGATTTTGCATAAATTCTGCTTCATATGAATATATAAATAACAGCATCGAGTCTCCTACCATAATTGTGCATGAAATTCATGGTCCCAGGTTCAAGATTTTTTTTGAAATGTATTATTTCTTTGAAAATATTATTCCCAGCACCTGGGTATTAAATAAACTAACCAAGTATGTATTTTGACACTTTTTCAGGTTAATATGAAGTTATGTCATCACAAGCTTCAATATTATTTCGCCCTTAAAAAACTATACTATTTTAACAAGAACAGGGTGCCATATATTTTTTTCAAAATGACATATGACCTTAATTCATCGTCCGACAATTTTAAAAGAGGCACCATTTAACATCAGTACAATACACAAAGCAGTTGCTTAGTTTGGTTATTTAATACCCATAGGCAGGGTAGGGGAACAAAAAATGCATTTCAAGCAATTAGTAATATTCAGCAATAATCAGTAGTGCCCCTACCACTCATGAACCCCTGACCCTAAGGCCTAGATCAACACATTGCACACTGCCCCTGGGGCCTTCAAATTCACAATTCTGGAAGATTAGGGCTCTCGCTCATCATAACTATATAGGTGGTTCATCTGCTTAATACCCAAGAGCAGAGAACATTTTCTCAGATTTAATGTATTTTCACTATAAAATCAATAGAGCCCCCACTAACATCATAACCCCTTACCCTGGGGCCATAAAATTCACAACTTTGGAAGCGACATTCTTGCCCATCATAACTATGTACTTAGTTTATTTAATTCCCAGGACCAGAGACGAAATTTCACATAATTCATGTATTTAATTTTCATTAATTTTCAGTGGTTTTGGCCCCACCCTACAGGCCCCAGGGGGCAGGGATCATGAAATTCACAGTTTTTGTTCCCCTTTACTGCTCAATTTGGTTGAAATTGGTTCAGTGGTTGCAAAGAAGAAGCTGAAAATGTTAACGCACGACGCCGGACGAAAACGGATAGCAAGAGGTCACCTGAGTTTACTTAGGTGACCTAAATATAGAAATAGCCCAGTAATGTAGAACCACCAGTATGATAGGAATATACATAGTATACATTTTTATGATAAGTATAAGTGTGCCTGTTCTCAATTTGTGATTTTCAGGGGTTCTGTTGTTACAGACCCTGAGACGTGCTACTACCCCAAAAAAGCGTGTGACTTTCGTGCGCTTTCCGTTTCGTGCAAACCGTGTAGCGTTTCGTGTAAACCGTGCAGCGTTTCGTGCAAACCGTGTAGCGTTTCGTGTAAACCGTGCAGCGTTTCGTGTAAGCTCCAAAGCGTTTCGTGCAAACCGTTTAGCGAGCGTGCGAAAAGCGTGTGAGAAACGTGCGACTTTCGTGTAAGAACCGTGTGAGAAACGTGTGACTTTCGTGCAAGAATCGTGTAAGATTCATTCGGAATTCATTTCATTTTAAATATGGCTATCGATGGGTCAGGATGTCAAATTGTATTAGTATTTTTTTGAATTAGTTAAGCGTGTGATATTTTAGGAGTAGAATTTTAAAGAATGGAACAACAAAATGACATTACACGGTAATGTATAATACATATTTGTTTGTTTTCTTTTCCTTCTATAGAAAATGTGTTCAAATTAATAAACTATGTACACAATTTTAAGGGCATTGAATTCAATATACTATCAATGCGATCATAGATTCTTAAATATTTTTTTCTTAAAGAAAGAAAGAAATACCTGTATTTTTTTTTATTTAAAGCAAAAATATATCAGGACTCATCTCTTTACATTTAAAACGTGAAAGAAAGTTTTGAAACGATGTTTCATTTAATACATAAAGCGCGTTGCTCATTATTGTCAAATAAATGGATTTTATTATTCTAATTCACATGCACTGACGACCACATGTTTAGAAATTAAGGGAGGGGGGGGTTAAATTAAATTACTAGTACAGTCTTTCATTTTTTGTTGTAACTTTCAATCTTATGTTATTTTAAATACTAGTAAATGCTTAATTTTATATTCTTTTTTAAATCCTTTGTTTAATAAAGATACACCCCTTAAAAACGTATTGGAATCTTCTTTCCGCCTTTCAACTGTGATCAAGGTCATTTACAACAGCGATCACGGGCTCCGAGTGCATGTCAAAAGAAAACCTGTTTTGCTATATGTACATGTTGAGTTCACGGCTTAATGACACCTGAAAATAACGACTGGATTTTATCTTTTTTAAATAAAATGGTTCTATAAATATTTAATGGGTACAATGTATAATTCAGCGGATTTCATCTTTTATTTGTAAATCCGAATTTCTAGCCGTAAACAGTAAAATAAACAGAACTGATTTGGTAGTTTTTTCATAAATATCATGTAAGAAAAGCTTAGGAGTAAATCATGAATAATTGTATATTATTTGTTTTATTATAAATCACGTACTTTTTATTTCATCTAAGATATTTCAGTTTTCTTATAATATACCTGAATGCCGGTGTAAAGATCGATCTACATTGTATGTACAGTTGTACAATGTATAGTCAAATGCCGCGACTATTAATAAATGTACATACATGTATATATACATGCGTTTAGTCGGGTTTTGAAATGAAGGATTTTACAGTATGACGGGTATACTGATCAGGCGCGGATCCAGAAATTTTTGCCAGGGGGGGT